ATCCGCACAATTTTCCACTTATCCAGGAAGTATTTCCCTTCTAAATGCACGAAATCATGTTGGTGTATTGTGTTGGGGTTTACACTGAATAATAAATATCTGAAACTTGATATGTGTCACTATTTAATGCTGAAAATCTTCTCTGAACTTTATAACTAGGGTATAGGAAATAAACTTAGAATTTAAGGAAAAATAAATAAATATAGCTACTACAATTTGGCAACAAACTCACAGCCTAAAAGGAGCTAATTTGTGATGACAAAAGCATAAAAGAGGAGGAGGAAAATGCCAGAACCTGTAGAGTCAAATGAAGATAAGTTGTTATCAGCAGAAAAAGGACTATTTTACCTATAAGATGTTTTATACAAACCTCGTGGGAACTACAAAACAAAATCTAGAGCAAAGACAAAACACTTAAAAAGGCGGGGGGGGGCGGGGGCAGGGGGGGACTGGGCAAATTATCATAGAAAACCACCAACCTAAAAAGTAAATATACCGACGAAAAAGAAACAATGGAGATTCAAGACAACCTGAAAACAAAAGATAAAATGACAATAGTAAGTCCTCATATATCAATAATCACCTTAAACGTAAATGGATTGAACTCACCAATCAAAAGGAACAGAGTGTCCAAATGGATTAAAACAAAGACCCAATTGTATGCTGCCTTCAGGAGACTCTTCTCAGCTCCAAACACATACACTCAAAAGTGAAGGGGCAGAGGATGATACTCCAAGAAATGGTAGCCAAAAGAAAGTGGGTATAGACATACATACATCAGACAATACAGACTTCAAGACAAAATTGGTAACAGGGGACAAAGTGGGTCATTATATAATTATGATAAAGGAGTCAGTACAGATCTTCCTCACTTATGAGAGGGTTACATCCTGATAAATCCATCACAAGTTAAAAATATAAGTTGAAAATGCATTTAATACACCTGACCTACCAAACACGATAACTTAGCCTAGACTACCTTAAATGTGCTAACAACACTTACATTAGCCCACAGCTGGGCAAAATCATCTAACACAAAGCCTATTTTATAATAAAGAGATCAATATCTCAGGTAATTTCTTGAATACTGTACTGAAACTGAAAAGCAAAATGATTGTATGGGTACAGAATGGCTGTACATGTATCAATTGCTTACCTTCATGATCGCATTGCCACAATAGATCATAAGATAGGCCACAAAACTAATCTTAGCAAATTGAAGAAGATTAAAATCACATCATATCTTCTCTGACCACAATGGCATGAAATTAGAAGCCAACCAAAAGAGAGTAGATCTTCAAATATATGGAAACTAAACAGCACATTTCTAAACAACCAATGGGTCAAAGAAGAAATCAAAAGGAAAACAAATTATGTTGAGACATATTAAAATGAAAATGCATCATATCAAATTTTGTGGGATGCAGCAAAAGCAGTTCCAAGAGGAAAGTTTATAACAAACACATATATTTCTTAAGAAATTAGAAAAATCTCAAACAACCTAACTTACACCTCAAGGAACTAGAAAAAGGAGCTAGACAAACCCAAAGATAGCAAAAGAAAGGAAATAATAAAGGTCAGAGCAAAAATAAATGAAATAAAGACCAAAAAAAAAAAAAACAGTAGAAAGGATCAGCAGAACTAAAAACTGTTACTTTAAAAAGATAAACAAGTTTGACGGCTAGACTAATTCTTTAGCTAGACTAAGAAAAAAACAGAGAAGACTCAAATAGCTCTTTTTTTCTTTTTTTAGTTTCATGAGTTTCTTTCTAAGTATTTTATCCTTCCTGTGGCTAACATAAATGGTGCTGCATGTAGGCTTGCTGTAAGGATTAACCTGTAGTTAATATATAAAGTATTTAGAGAAGTTCCTGGCATACAGTAAGTACCATAGTAGTGCTTCTTCTGATTATCACCTTAGTTTCTTCTGCTGTACTGTCCAATTGATTATTGTTGGAATACGGGTCATAGTTGTTCTGTCTCAGTTTCTGCCCAGCTCCCATTCAGTAAAAGCTAGGAGCAGAACTGGATCTTGGGGCATCATTTTAACAGGAAAATGAGGTGTACCAATAACAGACCCATCCCACATGGTTATGAGAGACACACTTCTAGTCCTATTATAGATGCCCTTTCCCCGGGCGACTGTCCCCAGACTATTTGGGGACTGTTTGGTGCTGATACCCAATCATTAGAACCATGGATGTAACTATTGCTACCCGATGCACACACACACACACACACACACACACACCTTAGGAAAACAAAGCTTAATATTCCTAGGAATCCCATTATTCTTGTGGACAGGTCTGACAGTCCAATGCAAAACTAATGTTTGCTGCTTACTCTTCAGAAATAGGCTGACAGTTGTACTCTGTGCATCAGTGAGCAAGCACGCATACCAAACTGCCCCAAAACTCAGTAGTTTAAAATAACTACCATTTACATCCTATTCCTGGGTCTCTAGGTCAGCTGGGTTGTTCTGCTGATCTGGGCCAGCCTCAGCTCCTCCCAGCTGGTCTCACTCGTGCACCTGCGGTCAGCTGGAGGGTGAACTACAGATGGGCTAGTCTGGGGTGGCCTCCTTCACATCTGCTGGGTGTTGGCTGTCCACCAGGGCAGTGAATCTTGACTGGGCTCTGTCTATCATCAACCAGAAGGCTAACTCAGGTTTGTTCCATGGTGCGACAGAATTGAGAGAGAACAAATACATACAGAGCTTCTTGAGACCTATGCTTGGAACTGACAACAGCACTACTTTCTACTACTTTCTCTCGGACAAAGCAAAGACAGGAAGCCAGATTCAAGGGGTGGAAAATAGACCCCTTTCCTTGTTGGGCAGGACTGCAAAGTCGTATTGTAGAGGGGGCATGAATACAGAGAAGCCTGAGCAATGAGAGTCACCATCATCTCCCGCACACTCGACACCATGATGACAATGCTTCTGGTGCTGATTTCCTTTTAGCAAAGGTTGCTTTGTCTCACTAGCAGCCCAACTGTGGACTGGGTCTGGGGAAAGTTCCACATTTGGTGGGCTTCACCCATTTACCCTGATTCACACCTGTTTCGCTATCACTGGGTGCCACTGCTTGACGTTGAGCCCCAATCTGAGTCTGTTTGAGAGTGCGATCCCCTGCACCAGCTGTCAGGATGATACACTTCCCTCTCTGTCCTGGTTTCTGAGAGCAGTTGCTGGTTTCGATGGAGTTTTCCAGTGTAGATTTACCAAGATGCTGCAGATCGTTCTTAGTTGGTGGCTGAATAATAAATCTTTGTTGATGTATCGACTCCATCAATCACGGGCTAATTAACTCCAAGTCCTGTTAGAAGCAATCGAAATGTATTTTCTCATTGTCAGGCGGCAGACAGATCTTGGGGGTAATCCCGTCATCTCCCAGCCTTCTGGCATCTCTGCCCTTAAGCTGCTGAGTCAGGACCATAGATCCCTGGTGGCCACGCAGGGACAGACTTTTTCTGCCACAGCAATATGTCTTCTCGCCCTAGAGAGTTACAGAGCCATCCTCGGCCAGGCTGTGGAGAGAGGGGAGGCTGTACACTTGCCCCCACCCCCCATCTACATGGCTGCTCTGCTCTGCCCACCGGGCCAGCAGGGGAACAGGGGAGCCCCAGTCCTCCTGCCCCCAGGGTCAGAACATAGGAAGCCAGAGGGAATGGCCACTCCTGGGTTGTGGAGGTAGAGCGAATAGTCCTGGAAGACAGAGAACAGGAAAAGAAAAAGATAGGCAATAAGAACCTGGTTGAAAAGAAGAGCAATGGGGCGCCTGGGTGGCTCAGATGGTTAAGCATCTGCCTTCAGCTCAGGTCATAACCCAGGGTCCTGGGATCAAGCCCTGCATCGGGCTCCCTGCTCCACAGGGGGCCTGCTTCTCCCTCTCCCTCTGCTTCTCCCCTTGCTCATGTTCTCTCTCTCTGTATCTCTGTGTCTCGAATGAATAAATAAATCTTTAAAAAAAAGAAAAGAAAAGAAGAGCAATGTGAGCTGTAGGTATTTATAACTAAGCTTGCTGTTCATAACTAATTAGCATATGGCAATAACCATTGTGCATATCATTATGTATTTAAAGTTACTTTTGTTTATATTAAACTTTCTTCTTCCTATATTCGGTGTTCCCTTACACAGGTTAAAATCATATAATATTCTGTTTAAAAGAATTCTAGGGGCACCTGGGTGGCTCAGTCAGTTATGAGTCTGACTCTTGATTTTGGCTCAGGGTTATGAGATCAAGTCCCGCATGGGGCTCCATACTGGGCGTGAAGCCTGCTTGGGATTCTCTCTCTTTCTCTCTCTCCCCCAGCCCCTCTCCCCCCAAAAAAGAATTCTAGTATGATCCAATCAGGTAAATATGTAAATATACACACACGTGTGCATGTATATACATATGATTTGGAAGATTTATATATTTTGGAGTAAAATGTGTATTTTAAACTTAAAATATCTACATATATATGTAAATGTATATATAAAAGACATATGACTATAAAATCAAAGATAAATATAAATATCTTTTACATCTTCTAGAGCTAAGTATAAACATATATGTACATTTACATTTTTGCTGAAAATTGTCTGAAAGGAGGAATAAGAAATGAGTAATAATGGTTCCAAGTAGGAAGAGTTTTTCTTTAATTTTCCTTTCTATATACTTTGGTTTCTTACCATGAGGATGGACTACTTTTATAACTTTTTAAAAGCAGTTTACTTGTAAATTTTAAGGTGATTCTGCCAGCTTTTCTTACGGTGTTACCCTCAGCTCAAACCATAAATTTGGGTAACTTTGGACACAAGAACGAGAATTCTCAGGACCCCAGGGTTAGGAGGGTGGTTCTGCAGGGGGACGGAACCGCGCGGAGCTGCTGAGGAAGCCCCGGTCCTGAGCTCCCCCGCCGGCCGCCCTCTCCCCGGGCCGGGATCCCGGCAGCTCCGGGGCTGGCGCGTGCGGGACCTGGTGGCCTCTCTCCCTGTCCCCGCTCGCCTCCCCCAGGGCCGAGGCGGCAAAGGCAGCATCTATGTGTGGGCCTCCGGGGACGGTGGCAGCTACGACGACTGCAACTGTGATGGCTACGCCTCCAGCATGTGGACCATCTCCATCAACTCGGCCATCAACGACGGCAGGACGGCCCTGTACGATGAGAGCTGCTCCTCCACCTTGGCCTCCACCTTCAGCAACGGCAGGAAGAGGAACCCCGAGGCTGGCGTGGTGAGTGTGGCCCCCGACCCTCGGGGAGGCGGTGGAGAGCGCCCCCGCTGCGTAACGTCAGGCACGGACGCTGGGTGGCGTTATGCACCACCACTGGGTGCCTCACCGGAGGAAGGGGCTGTCCCCTCCTACCCTCAAAGAGTCAGCGTCTGTTCTGAGGCTCCGGAGATCCATTGTCTGTCTTCCGGGCCTGATAATGCTTTGTTACCAAGGTAGAGCCATGCAGTGTGCAAGTTGGAAGCAAGAATTGTGATCCTTTCCAGATCATTTTCCATAGTCTTTCTTGTTTATTGTTTTGCCTTGCAAAAAAATGATGAACTCTGATGATCAAGAAGTTGCCCCAGTACTCCACTTTTAAAGAGAGCTAATATTAAGAACTGGGCCAGCACACCATCACGCCAAGAGCCAATCTGTTTATTACAGTAATTAAAAAATAGCGTCCATGGATGGATTTCTTTGAGTCCATAAGCCCTCTGGGCACACACATGTATTTTTTCAAGGCAAGAGTAGTGGTTTTCACCATATTTTAAAATATGTCCATGATTGAGAAAACAAAAAGGTTAAGAATCCCAGACTTAGATTATTTATTGCGTTCTTCTGAGCAGCACTTCCTTCCTGGGCAGCTTGGTAACATGGTGAATTTTCCAAGTCCCCTTAAAATATATATCTGGAGAACATAATGAATCTTTTTGGATCTCTTCCTCTCTCTGGGTGTCTCACTCACATATCACCTCTCCTCAGACCTCCCAGCCTGGAATTTGGTAGGTGGTTCCGTAGCCCTGCTGAGCTACATCTTGACCAGCCACCCACCTCAGCTGGGGTCTCCCAAGAGAGAACAGGAGCTCAAAACACAATCATCGTTACCAACCAGTGCTCCAGTCCCAAATTCCTGCCTGGATTCTACCTAGGCAAGCTGTCCTGACTCTCATGGAACCAGGAGATCCCTTAACCTAGAAGGGACACAGACTTTACCTGGCTCCCTCCTTGGTCTTGTGGAGGACAGCGAGTGTGCCTATTCCTCCCAGGCAGGAGGAGGCTTCAGCCTCTCCTATCTTAGGGGAGCTCTATGGACAGAAAAGGAGAAGAGCAGAGCAGAAAGGAAGTGAGAGAGTCCCCAATCCTGTTGTGCTTGTGATGTTTCACCCCTCCGCCTACAAAGTGTCACTCCCTACCCCAAGGGTGTCACTTTGTCCTCACCTTTATCTAAGATTCTCTTTCTGCTTGGACTGGAGAAGGGCCTTGAGTTCTATCTGAATATTGTAATTTTCCCCCAATAGATGCCTTTAAACCTCCCTGATACTTTGTTCTTCAAAATCGTAGGCCCATGTGAGGATCCTACAGACAAACAGAGGAAGAAGGAGAATTCATGTGGTTTATGTGTGATTGTAATGAAAACCCTGGCTTTCACCCTGGCTCATTGAAAATGAGGGTTTTTTCTCTTTGTGAAAGTCCTTTAAAACATGGTTGATCGGTCTCCCCACTTAAGAATTGTGGAAGTGATTACTCACACATCTGTTATCTTGGCTTCCTGAGTCCCAGCATCTCTCCATATGATACAGAGAAACATTCTCCTTTTAATGGCCTGTCCTTCCAGGCAAACTTCAGCTGAGCATGTTTATTCTTCCCTCTTTGGGAATGCCACCTTTTCCTTTGTGAAGGGAAAAAGATGATACAACAGCATTTGGGTTTTCCAAATCAATCCCAGTGCAACAATACTCACCATTGCATTGACTCGGTGGTAGTACTGACTTGTCATCTTCCACCTGTAAGGTTTCCTTTCAGAATCTAGGAAATAAAAGTCTCTCTAGTCTCTGGAATAACTGCAAATATGCTTCTCTTGAAACACTTGACTTGTTTTTATCTCGTGAAACACTTGACTTGTTTTATCTTGTGAGTACTATAACTGTAACTGATTGTCCCTTTTTGCATGGGCTACTGGGAAGCTCAAATAAAATGTATGGCAAGATAGATAGATAGACGGATGCTAAGCTTATTGTTACCTTTATCTTAATCTTCTTCAGAACAAGGCAGAGTTTAAATGAAAGAAACAGATAATACTCTGCTTCGTATTGTTTTGGGATTCAAAGTAGAGTGACTTCTTCATTCATTACTGAACATCTTCCCTTCCAGGCGACCACAGATTTGTACGGCAACTGCACCCTGAGGCATTCTGGGACATCCGCAGCTGCGCCCGAGGCAGCTGGAGTGTTTGCACTGGCTTTAGAGGCTAAGTATGTTTCTATCTTGGGGCCGAGGGTGGACTAACATGTGTCTCTCCACCCAATCCCAGGTGTCCATGGAGGCAAAAAGTGGGTGTGAGAGCCAGTGGATGGTCAGGGCCAGTGAACTGTGATGGGCATTTCTAAAGGAACTGTGGGCCCCAGATGATACACACACACACACACACACACACACACTCCACAAATAACATCCCTAGGAGAGCACAGTACCAAGTAGGGACACATAGATCTTTCTTTCTTTGTGGAAACCATCCTATTATCCTCTCTGGATCCTTTGACTATTTTACTCCAGTAATACAATTAGCTAAATGAAGGAAATCTACTGCCAAACTGGTATCCAGCAAGCTATTTCAGAACCTGTGGCAATAAGGGTGCTCCCACTCAAGACTTGTTAACTTGTAAGGTGAATTCACTTTCAACACTGACACAAGGTGGGCAAAACCACACAGTGTAGACCAGGAAATGGATTTTCCTGAGAAGCCTTCCAAGCTCCAGGTAAGAGGAGGCTGTCCCCTCTGTTCTCACCATCCCACAGAGAAGCCACAGACTGCTGTTGCTGGACACATCTCGGATTTGATCCTCAGCAGAGATTCCTGCCCACTTGCAGCTCTGCGTTCCCTTAGGGCACGCCAGAGGCTGGCCCTGGCTTTGAGGAATGAGCCTGTGGGCTTCAGGCCTCACCCGTGTGGTAGGAGTGCAGATGCCCACGCTGCAGGGAGCTGTTCAAGAACGCAGCACCAACCACTTGTGAGAAGTTGGATTCAGGCCCCTGGGGAAGGGGAGTTGAGTTCCCATCCTTGTCAGCCCGTTGCTGGGCAACCGGAGCTTCTAGCATCCATCTCCAGGCAACCCTATTCGTCTCTCTCCACATATACAGTGTGTTTTCTGACTTGCAAAGGAGGTAAAACTTGATTCCTAAATAGGAAAGGACTTTGAAAGATTCTCTAGTCTGACACTCTGTCTTCTAGTAGAAAAGGCATAATCATCCTCCTTTTACAGATAAGGCCCCACATCGATTTGGACCAGGCCAACCTTTGATTCTTCGAGCAAAAGTCAGATGGAAAACTTAGGATTCCAGGAGACACTGATTAAAGTGTTTCTATTAAGTGCAGAGACCAAAACTTACGTAGTATGTACCCTTCTTGAAGATGAAACAGTTTATCTCAAGGTCTGTCTGGCCCCGGTGTCTGAGCTGGCTTTGTTCACTCCAGCTAGGAGCAAACAAACAGCAGGAGCCGACTGCTTGCTGCTGAGTTTGCAGAGAACAGGGAGCAGGGGTGCTCCAGAACTGAGAAGGGAGTTCTGGTCACCCTTTAAATCTAAGAGGGTAGACCTTGACTCAAGTCTCCTTGCATTTTGGCAAGCAAAAGTCAACTGCTCAGGCCTCTGTGCACACAAAGGGACAGCCTAAATTGATAAAGTAATGGAACAAGGCTGCTGGATCTCTGAACAGGCTCATAGGCTCTGCACCAATGAGTCACCATTCTTTGACACACGCTTGCCGAAAAGAAGTCACCGCACGGGTATGCTTTATTTTGGAGCAGTGGTTGTGATTTTAATTCTCTCTCGCCATAAAGAGGAAAAAAGTGATACCCGGCAGGTAGTGGTTCAAGCCCATTGTAGGAACTAGTCCTAAAATTCCTCAGAACACCAACTGCATGTTGGTGCAAGCAGTTTCTTAAGGAAGGGTGTAAGCAGTTTCTTAAGGAAGGGCTCTCAGGAGAAACCAGGCTAAAGTTGGTGCAAGCAGTTTCTTAAGGAAGGTTGGTGCAAGCAGTTTCTTAAGGAAGTGCTCTCAGGAGAAACCAGGCTAAAGCAGAGGTTAGGATGGGGGGAAAATCCAAGTAAGGATGCAATTTCAGAAGTTCTGGCCTCAGCCTGATCCCATGGGGAGCTCTGGAGTGTCAGTGATGCCTCAGAGTGTGTTTTTCCTCAAGGCAGGGATGCTGGGCTGCCATGTTCTGGCACTGGTCCGTCACTGGCTGAGAGCCGTGCCCGGAGAAGGAAACTCCAAGGCGTCTCTGGCTTTCTGCACCTGTGGGCAAAGCGGCTCCACTAGGCAGCAGTTAAAAACAATGGTCAGAACAAAACAGCCCTACGAGGGAGTCTAGAGGGAGGAGGAGGGAAAACCGCTCCATGAACAGTTCCTACAGCTCATCTTTCTTTATTGTGAGACCAGACACCTGGGAGTCCTTGGCGACATAGGACAGCAGTTGAGGGCTGCTGGCCATCCAGAGGTCCAATCAGAAAGCTTTTCCAAAGCAGTGTGAATGCAATAAACAAATTCCGTGTAAATGTATGCCCATCAGGACTACGAAAGAGGAACAGCCACCCCCAGGAATCCCGGGGAGAAAAGGGAAGCCTGTGTCCTGCCCAGGCACTACTTTCATAAAGTACTTTTCTGCCAAATGCTTGAAAATGGCTTCTTGAGTCCCAGGGAGTTTTGCTCACATTTTCCAGTGTGACCAACACAGGAAAAAATTTCAAATGATTTCTTTGCCCAGTGGGGTCAGGGGGTGGGCTGGGGTCAGTGACTGCCATCTTTAAATATTTTGCATTCTCTCTGGGACCCAGGGCTTTCTGTGTGGTTCTAGAGGGCTGAACTAGGTCAGTCATAAGGAGGCAAATTTTTGGCTTGAGAGAACCATCAGTAAAGAGGCCCATGTACTGGACTAGAATAATGTTTCCAAACCTGACCTTTCAGGAGATGGATGTTTTTTATCATACTTTTTATCATGTATACTCTTTATCAAAGTATAATAGACCCAGAGAAAAGTGCACAAATATTAGATACAGCTCAATGATTTCTTACAAAGTTAACAGATCCATGTAACCAGCATCCAAATCAAGCAACAGACCATTACCTAAGTACCAGATGTGTTCTTTTGCTTAATATCATGTCTGAGAGATTCCTCCATACTGTTCTGTGTGGCTATAAGTCATTCATACTCATTGTGAATTACTCCACTGTATAAATGAATCCTTGGGTTGTTTCCAGTTTGGAGCTGTTATGAGTCATATTGCAATGAACATTCTTACACATGTCTTTTGGTGAACATATGGATGCATTTCTGTTGGGTGTATACTAGGGAGTCAAAATCCTGAGTCATGGGGGATACATATGCGCAGTTCTCGTAGATACCCCCAATAGTTTTTCACAGTGGGGGGTAGCCATTGACCCTCCCTCTGGCAGTGTGAGTTACAGTTGCTCCACATCCTTGACAACACTTGGGATTGCCAGTTTTCCACACTTTAGCCATTCTTGTGAGTGTTCAGTAGAATTATATTATGGTTTTAATTTGCATTGCCCTGACAACTGGGGAGAGCACCAGGGGTGGGGGTAGTTTTGAAAACTATAGATTCCCACATCTCAGCTAAAAGTCACTGAATAGAAATCTCTGGGGATGGATGGCCCAGGAATCTGTCTTTTCAAGCCCTGTTCCAGGGACTCCAGTCCTGCGCATCCAGTAAATCAAGAGCTCTATGTATCTCTGAATCAGGATACTGTTGTATGGCAGGTGAATATCTGGACTCTGCTTCTGACTAGGTCAAGATTGGAAACAAAATCCAAATACCGATAGCTAAACTGAGACAGGGTTTTATTTTTCTGTCGTGGGAAAGATACTACAGAGGTTGAGAGCCCAGGGTTACCATGGGGGGTGCCACTTGGATTTGGGGAATCCAGCTCTTTCTAGATTTCTGCTCTTCCACCTTCATGTTCTCCAGATGCTGCTGGGGCTCTAGCCATCATGTTTACATTTCAGATAGGAAAAAAGGGAAAAAAGAAATCCACCAGCTGAGTCACCTTGTTTAAAGGTTTTTTGAAAAAGCCCCACCCAGTAGCTTTTGCTTATTTCTCATTGACCACAACCCTCATGCAACCACCCCAGACTACAAAGGAGGCTGGGAAATATAGCTTTGGAGCTAATAATGTTGCTGTTCTGAATAAAATTGAGGTTTTCTTAATAGGGAAGAGGAAGGATATATATGAGGGAGACAATAGCTATGTCTTCCAGCATCTAAGTGGACGATCATTCACCTCCTTTGGAAATCTGTTGTCTTACCTTAAAAGAACTACATTTGTCGCTAGTCCCCACATGATTCAGATGCAGGCAGCTTAAGGATCACAGTCTGAAGCACCCTGGCTGGGATAACACAGGGACCCCACTGTTGGCTTTCTTGGCATTGAGAGCTCCCCCATCACGGCAGCCCTCCCTTTTAAAGTATTGAGTTGTCTTTCTCCCTCTGGGCTGTAGGCTCTGAGAGAGCAGGGACCTTCCTAAGGCATGCCTACAACTAACACAGTGCCTGGAGCTGATATACACTTAATGAACCTTAATGGAATCACTTCATTGTGCAGTACCTTTCCATATGTCTGTGCCTTATTCTCCAAAGTATTATATAAAATGCTTGAGAACAGAGAAGAACATGTCATGCTATTAGTCCTCTAACACTGTTCACAGTGACTTTTATATTGTAGATAATCTGTAAATTTATTTTTTTATTATTTAGTAAGTATGACCTATAATTCTTGAGCTACTATGTTAGGAATAAAGCGTAATGCAGATGGAAGAAATACAATTTCACACAGTAGTGTAATCTGTCAATTCTGAAATTGCTCAGAAGGGGGAATCAGGAGGGACTTAGTTTTACCTCTCAGACACACATAAATGGCTGGTCAAACAGTGTCACCAACTCAATCACATGAGAATATGGACTATCTCTGATTTATTCTAGAAGTGAGAAGATCTTGGTTCTGACTGTTCTTTCTGTCTCTCTCATGGACCCCATGAGAATAAATCCACAGAGAAATGTCTACCTCCAACGTCTAACGTCCCTCTCCAAGCTCCAGAAACCATAGCACAATTTTGTGGCCAAACCCTTAGCAAAGATGGTAGATAATCTACCTGCCAGCCAGATCATCTCGAGATCACCAGATTCTCATTTATCACACTTCTGTATTTAATGAATTCAGAATCCCACTCTGGCAAAATACCGAGCTTTTCGCCATAATCAACTTCTTGAAACTTCACACAATTCACTTGGGTCCTAGGGACCATATGTCCAAGATATGTTTATAAATTTCTCAAATAAGCAGTGGCCTTCTTTGAAACTTTCTCTTTAACCACTGAAGGTCTACACTGCAAGAGTACATGAATCATTGGCATCTTTTGGCTCTGATTCAAAGCTTCAAACCAATGAATCCTGCATGTGCTGAAATTTTATCAAATGAGTTATGTTGTTCCTAGTCTTTTGAATTATTTGATTTCCAAAAAGAACCATAGTGTAGCGTTTTTCCAGCTTTTTGATTTAAAATAAATTTTGCGTTGCAACCCAACACCACACACACATACACACACACACACACACACACACCGTTTCATGAAAAATAGTTTCCTATATTACATGCAATCCACACTGTTACTCTTTTCTGTTCTATTCTGTTCATTTTTTTAATGATAGTCCCGTTCATTAAATCACTGGTTCTCAAGCTTAGCTGTCTGTCTACTACTGTGTTCACAATTTCCAAAGCCTGGGTCCTATTCCCAGATATTCTGACCTTAATTGATCTAAGATGTGGCCTAAGCAATGGGATTTTAAATGTCCTCACCAGAAGATTTTAATGTGCAGCCCAGGTAGATAATCTATGCAGTAAGTTGATTTCCTGGCCCACAAATGGGTCTGACTTGTACTTTGAAAAACACAGACAATGAGTAATACTAGATACTGATTTCCCAAGACAGTAGCACCTGTAAACAGATTTGTTTATTCACTGGACAGTGTTCCAAGGGCTGTTGTCCTGGGCACTGGGGATACAAATATGCTGAACATACAGTCTCTGCCATTGAAGAAATGACAGCCTCATTTTCACAAATGGAACACATCCATGCAGCCAACACCCAAATCAAGAAACAGAGCACTGCCAGAACCCAGAAGCCCCCTTGCATCACCATCCAATCCCCCACCCCAAGACTAACCACTAACCTGACTGTTAACAGCACAGATTACTTGGGCCTGTTTTTATACTTTAAACAAATGGAATAATACAGTATGTTCTCTACCAGGTTTGGCTTCTTTAGGTTGATGTTCTATTTGCAAGACCCATCTGTATTATTCAGAGTAGCTATAATTCATTTGTTCTTATCCTAGGACAGTATTTCACATCCTGCAAATACATCTCCACTGGTTTATTTATTTTATTGTGGATGGGCATTTGGGGGCTTTGTAGTTTGGGCCTATGAACATTCCAGTACACATGTCAGGTGGATATATACACATATTTTTGTTGGATGCATACCTAGGAATGGAACTTCTAAGCCATAGCTTAGATACTTGGACAGCATGAGAATATACAGCCAAACAGTTTTCCAAAATGTTTGCAGTAATTTACACTCCTGTCTGCAAAATGTGTGAGTTCCAGTTGTTTCACGTCTCTGCCAACACTTAGGATTGTCGGTCTTTTTCATTTCAGCCATTCTAGTGTGTGTTAGAATGTGCATTTTAAGTAAATTTATTTACGTAAGAAAGGCAAGATTTTTAAATTTATATGTATAATGGCTCTAAATGGTGCATGGAAATCCTCCCTTGACTTGGGGGTTCATAGATGTTCCAAAATCCTACAAGGGGTCCATGGTCTATCTTAGTCATGTGTCTCTCTCCCTCTCTCTCCCACCGTGTGCCCTCCCCCCATATCCTGTTCTTGAATCTCTCTGCCTCCGGTATCCAGCCTGGGTCTGACCTGGAGAGACATGCAGCATCTGACTGTGCTCACCTCCAAACGGAATCAGCTTCACGACGAGGTCCATCAATGGCGGAGGAATGGGGTTGGCCTGGAGTTTAATCACCTCTTTGGCTATGGGGTCCTTGATGCGGGCGCCATGGTGAAAATGGCTAAAGACTGGAAAACCGTGCCTGAGAGATTCCACTGTGTGGGAGGCTCCGTGCAGGACCCTGAGTAAGTGCATGTGGAAAATATCCCAGAGAGGGTGCCATGGCCTGGGCAACAATATCAAATTCCCTCTCTGTCAGCTTGAGATGCACTGGATTTGAGTCAGGGACAACCAGCTTCCACGCAGAGCTGTAGAGTGGCACAACTCCAGGGAGCCCCAAGTATGTAGAACACCATTAGGAGCCTCAGAACCCCTGGTTTTAGGTATGATCCTTTACTATTTCGATGGCTTACACCATTATTTTTGAGTGCACAAGTCAACCAGTGTAACCAGGTCCCAGATCAGTAAACAGGCCATGACCATAACCAATATCCCAGAGGCCCCTTGTGTCCCCTTCCATCATCGTCTCCCCAAGAGTAACCTTAAAACGCCATAGATTATTTTGCCCATTTTGTACTTAATATAAATGGAATCAGACACTATCTTCTCCTTTATATCTAGATTCTTTAGCTCAGAATGCTTCGACCATGTTTAGTGTATACTTGTAGTTCATTTATTCTCGTTGCTAAATAATGTCCTGTTGTGTGACTATAACATGATTTACTTATTCGTTCTACTTGTGAGGCAACATAGGGACTTGATTTGATGCTGAGTGAGTTGGATAGCCATCTGGAGGGATTTGAGTGAAGAGTTTACACAGAAACCACCATGCTGGTCACCTGCTTCTACTTCCCTTTTAACTTCCCATCACGGCAAGAGGATTGGACAATGAGGACCCCTTTTTATTGCATTTCTCTCTTCATTGATTCATCAGTAAGACGGAAATAACAATTCTTATCATTATTTTCAATTGAGATATTGTTTACATACAATGAAATGCACAGACCTTAAATGTATTACTTGAGTTTTGATGTATACATCTGGGTGAATGAAACAATTAGTTTTTATTGGGCACCTACTATGTGCCATGTGCTTTACATCTGCCTAAGCTTCCTAGCCAGCCCGCTTGTTGAGGGTGCGCCTTACCTCACACAGGCAGGGTATGAATATTTTGCAGTGTGAATAGCAAAGTGGTCCCATGTTGGGTCTCAGGGAGAAGTGCCTCCTAGGTAGCTGGTGTGAGGCCTTTTACATAAACTATCTGTATTTCATCCTTGTAAGTCCAGGAGGTATGTACGATCATTGTTACCTCGAAACAGGGGAGGAAGCTGAGATACAGAAGGCAAAAGAAATGTGCTCAAGGTTACAAAGGTCCGACCAGGACTTGAAACAAAGCCCTTCTGTAAACCCCAGTTTGTTTCATTAGATGACATTGGCCTTAGGGAGCTCCTACTGTGCCCTCAGGCCCTACATTAGGTGCTACATCAGACAGCTGGACAGTGTCATTACAAATGAGGAGAGGCTCAGAGAGGTTAAGGACACGCCAAAGAAGACCTAGCTATTGAGCAGCCAAACTGGGATTTGAACCCAGGCATTCTGACGTCAGCACACCACCGCTTGAGGGGCTTCTCAGTATATCTCAGTGATCCCCCACTGGAGAGGAAGTGAGGCTCAGCACATATCAGAAGGCACTTCCTCCAGTAAGACCTTCCCTGGGGACCCTGAAACCCCACCTAGCAGGTGGGCCCACTCCCCCCCAAACTCCATAACTGCTGTCCTGGAGAGCCTGTCGCTGTTAGAGTCTACAAACAGGGTGGCCAAACAGAGATAAGACTGGGAATCTCCACCCAAATGGGAAGGGGAAGGGGAAATCCAAAGTCAATATTCAATGGGCATTGACAACTGTACTGCCCTCGTTAGAGTTCAAAACAATTCTTTGCGTGATTTGGAAGGCCCAGGAGACTCGGTACCACGGTGGAAATGTTCTGTATCTGGGTGTCCAGTACAATAACTCGTGGCTAGGGAGCACTAGAAATGTGGCTCATTTGACCTAACTTTAGTTTAAGTTCCAATAGCCACATGTGGCTGGTGGCTGCCATCTTGGACGGCTCAGCTCTGATGCCCATCTGGTAGTTACACTGTCCCAGGAAGGATGCTAAATAATGCAAACAGAATGGGAAGTGTAAATTGAATAAAACTCTGTGAAAGGGTGCCCAGAAGTCGAGCCTGAAGGAGAGTTGGGGCCAGTCCGCTTAGCCTGTGCTTCCCCCAGCGCCCCCTGCGCGTGGGTCCACCGCTCACTCCCCCCACACAGACAGCAGGACACTCCAGCAGCCCTGAGGGCTCCCTCAGATGGCCCTGGGAGCGTGCAGGCATGGTGCTGCCACCTACTAAGTGCTGCTCTCCAACTGTCGCCTGGTCAGGCAACACTTTTCTCCCACAGGAGTTTGGTGTTGCTACTCTCATCCACAGGTGAGAGAACAGGAAGCTCAGGAAGATAGAGTAAATGGTTCTAGTTCACAGAACCAGCAACTCCAACGTCCACCAAAGCCCTGGGCCTGGGACCTCCTTCCCTTGCTGCAAAGAGGGAAAGATTTACAGAAAAGGACTTGGCAAGAGGGAAAGGCATATGGTGTTTGCTCCTCTCCAGAAGCTCAGGCAGGGGCCCACACATCGCTCATGCGCCGTGCCACGGGAGCATTATCCACAGTTAGCTGCATACCAGCTCCATCCACAATTAACAGAAAGGTGTTAACAGTTGCAGCTCCCTCCACAATTAACAGAAAGGTGTTAACAGTTGCAGCTCCATCCACAATTAACAGAAAGGTGTTAACAGTTGCAGCGTTTAGGGGAACAGTCAGCTTAGTCAAGGTAAATGTTGATAGAGGACCTTCTCTTCTGAGGCCACTGCAGACAAGGATGGATCCTTCATGATCCTCAAGCTCTGTGCATTTGTGAGGTAGGGGGAGGGAGGAGAGCAAGGCGGAGAACATCAGCTGTGACAAAAGACAGTTTCTCTCTCAGTTTCTATATACATATAACATTCTGTCGTGATCCCCATAAATGTTGAATTTGGAGCCAGAGACAAGAAGGCTATCATGTTACAGTTAAGGTACTCAAGGCCCAGCAGCTTACAACTAGCTAGGAACTTTATCCAGTATCAGCAGCCTGACTTTCAATGAAAGGAAACTGGAAAGCTATTTGAGCACGGACCAGAATTGCGCCCTCCATGGGGACAGGAACCTAGTGTGTCTTGTTCACTGCTATATCCTCAATGCCTAGAACAGCACCTGGCACCCAGTAGTCACATGGGAGATATTTTCTGAATGAGTGAATGTTCAGCCAGCAGCACCTGGGTACAAGGAAGATGGCTAAGTGGTGGCAGTTAGGACCAGCAGACCAGCCAGGGGGACTGGGGACGGAGGGCAGCCTTGTTGGAAGGACTCTGTGTCCCCTAGGCACCCTCTGCACCCTCATCCGCCCCACACCTGAATTTCGTTCTCGGATGCAAGTGAGTGAGCTCTAGGGCAGATGGGCTTGTTGCAGAACTCAGAGGCTGGTACAGCTTAGTCCTTAGGGCAGTGCCCAAGGCCGCTGGGCAGAGAAGGCCCTTGTCACCGTGAATCACACTCCTGAGGGGCCAGGACAGGGGCATCAACAGCCACTTGCTGGGACGTGCGGGGCTGCACAGAAACAGCCCCCGAGCGGGGTGCGTGCCAACTGACAGGTTTATAGGTTTCCTCGGCAATAATCTTCCCAGAGAAGCAGCCAATTTGAAAAGCAATTTTCTAAAGCGACTTTATCAGCAGAGTCAGTGAAGGGTGCTCAACAAAAATACGAAGGAAAAATACAACTGGCCATGAGTGTCTACACAGAATCAGCCGTGTGCAGTGAGCAAAGCGAAGCCAGGCCTGCTCATGGGCCAGGGGCAGCCGCGTGTCCCCCGAGTGCTGAAGCGCGGAGTGCACTGTTGGGCACAGACCGTGCCCACCCTCCCCTGCGCCCAAGAGCGTTGTTCACTCCGCGCCGCTGAGGCTGTGGCAAACTGTGAATTTTAAGTGAATTTGGAAGTAGATGTTAAAGCCTGATGGGGATGCCAGACACAGCATGGCAGAGAGAGAAGAGGGTGTGCCCAGCGCCAAACCAGCTATGGGACCGTAGACGGGTCACGGCCGAGCCACGGTTTATCTTGTGTGAGTTAATGCCCACCTGCCGCTGTTACCTGGGAAAGAGAAACCATCGCGGAGCCCACCTGTTAAGTGTTCTTCTGTGACGGCCACAGAGCTGACGTCTCAGACCCTCAAGGGTGGCCGTTAGTAGCACTATTGTTATTATTCTAATAAAACAACTGTCGCATCATAACTAATTATTTTTATCATACAGTTGAGGCTTCAGAACACAGATAGCATTGCACAGGTGTCCCCTGGGAAGCAGGGCCTAATGCTAGACACCTGGCAACTGACCACTTATTTGCAACAATGTGCAATGAATATATAAGCCATCCTCAGGTCCCCAAGTTTGTCTTTTATAGGACTTGAACATGAGGCTTCTGTACATATTCTCTGAAAGTTCAGAGAGTAGTTCACAACTCTTGATGGGTACCTAACTTTTTGTAGCAAATGAGTTCTGGAACGTGGTCTGTATGACTGAGGATCTAAGCAGAGTCCCTTTTGGTTCCACAAACAACCATCTCCTATTTCAACCTTTTTTTTTTTTTTTTTTTTTGAGGGAGAGAGAGAGCCCTAGGGCACATGAGCGCACATGCCAGGGGGGTGGGAGGGGCAGAGGGAGAGGGAGAGAGAGAATCTCAAGCAGACTCCACTCCCAGCGTGGAGCCTGACACAGGGTTCCATCTCATGACCCGGAGATCCTGACCTGAGAGAAAATCAAGAGTCGGACGCTTAACGAACTGAACCACCCAGGCGCCCCTATTTCAACCTTACAGTTGACTTTCCTGAGCAAATAAGGATTTGCTTTTCCTTTAAAATAAGGATGGATTGTATTGCTTTTCTTATAAAAGCAAAATAGGGTCACTGTAGGAAAATTGGGAATACAAGCGAGCAAAATAAAAAAAGAAGTAGTAAGAAACACCCAGCAGATACTGTTCCTCTGCTCTCCCAACGCCATGATGCCTGCCGAGAAACCTCCCTGAGAGGAGGAATGGCGTCCTTTCTCTTCCAAGCTTGCCTCCTCTGGAATTCACCCCAGCCTTTTAATTTCATTTCTAAGTGACTTAACATTCCAAGAAGAATCCACTGCTCTCTCAGGGGCTACTCCCCCTGCATTCAGTGGGCATTTCACATGGCAGGGCAGCGATGGCCGAGTTTTACAAGCAGACGACACCCCCATGGCACTAAACAAGCCAGACTCCCCTTGGAATGGCCTCCAGCCCCTGCACACACCCCAACCCCAAGGCTGCTGAGACAGTTTTTGACTCCTAACACAAAGTGGTACGTCTGTGCCCACTCCAATCTGTCTTCCGCTTTCCAAGATGAAGACAAAACGGTGGTACGTCTGTGCCCACTCCAATCTGTCTTCCGCTTTCCAAGATGAAGACAAAATGCCAGTCCTGTCTCAGCCTCCTTCATCCCTGCCTCCAGCCCTCTCACAAACACCCTCCCTCATCCCTTAGGCCACACAACAGACAGCCTCGGCTCTAGTTCCTCTCTTCTGCAGGGAAGGGGGCAGCCAAGAGTCAGTAGTCGAAGCTCAAAGCAGCTGTTGAGGGAATCTGGGTGAGAGACTGCATCTACTGAAGCCCCCCCGTAGCCATGGTGGACGTGAAGGTCGTCTCCGGTTTGGCCCAAAACAGATTTCTCTCCTTCTATCCTAAGAGATCATCTCGGCCCTTGTTCATTTACGGGAACCCCCATTGCATGTGGTCTGTGGATCTGATTCCCAGCTACAGTGGCCGTCCCATCTCTTGTTCTTAGCCAATCGAAGAAATATTTCCAGTTTTCCCCAGGGGAAGCAATGTCACTTTTCTGCCAGAGATTCCGTGAATTGACTTGTAAAGGGACTGTCATTTGGTGAACTCCAGTACATAAATGCCCTGGGTGCAAATGGAGAAAAAAATATATATATTATTTTTTTTTTTTTTAGAATCCAGCTTGTGTTTTGAATCCTTGCGATAATAGGGAGTATTGCATTTGACAAATGACTAGCAATGCTTTGTAATACCTAGAGTGACTATTACTCAGGGTAACAGTCTTTAGTTTTTGGCTTGTGAGTTTGCTTCTTGAATTTCTCAAGGTGGCCTGGCCTGAATGATAGGAAAGGGGCTCAAACTCAACACAGGACTCGGAGCCAGGGTCTCTTCCTGCTGTGGGCCCTGCCATCTTCCTCTGTTCCCTCCAGCTGTGCTTCTTGGAGAGTTCCAGAATACCTGAGGCTCCACTCTAAAAGGAAAGCCTCCATTCTGGACCTGCCTGCCTGTCTGTGTAGAATCTCAGCAGTAAAATGTGGCATTTCACTCATACCTGAGGTCTGGACGTTCCAGAAGCCTCCAGCAAAGTGGCCAGAAAACCTGCAGAACAGGATCCACAGTTTTCCCCGCTGCTTTTTCTAGAGCCTGTGAGCCATGACAAAAACGGAATGTGCTTACAACAGAAGCCTGGGAAATTTTCTAATGAGTGGGCATGGTGGCATCAGGTTCAAACTGAACATAGGCAAATATTTAGATCTGTGCTGTCCAGTAGAGAAGCAACTAGCCGCAGATGGCTATTTAATAAAATTAAATTTAAATTAATTATTAAAATTAAATTTAATTAAAAATTCAGTTCCTCACACTTGTCACGTTTCAAATGCCCCATAGCCACATGTGGCCAGTGACTATAGTATTGGACAGTGCAGATATAGAACATTTCCATCATTGCAGAAAGTTCTTTGGCTAACTCTGGTCTAGATATTTGTGAATATGTGATGTATATGAGTGTGTATCTATATTTTATCTGCAGAGCAATTCTTAAGTGTAGGAAGATTAATATCTCCATTGTACAGGTAAGGAAAAGGAGCTCAGATAGTTCCAAATGCTTTGCCCATAACTGGACCTTCATTCTACCCACATAGCTCTATACCTATGGGCTAGAGCCCAAATGATTGTCAGTCATGTAACAGCTCACCTGTTAACGTTTCTGACCCTGTTGTGAGTAAATAGCATCTTTTTTTGAGAGATCTAGTTAGCAACCTTGCATACTCTGACTTCCAGACCTGGCCTCATGCTTGCTCTCCACTAAACTGGATGACTTCCCCCGAGCATGGTACCCCACCTCCATCACCACCACCAGATCTCCACAGCCAGTGGGTATCTCACACATCATTCAGCATCAGCATCTATGCAGAGTGCATATAATAGCAGCACTCCATGAAACTATTAAAGCATATATTTTGAAAGTTCCTCAGGAGAGTATTGACTTTACCAATGAGCTACAGGTTAAGCTTCAACAAGCCCTCCCAGGTTTGTGGCTTTGGTTCCAAGGGTCATGCAGTACCAAGGCTTGGCTCCGAGCTGGGTGTGTGGTCATCTTTTCGTAGATGGGCTCTACAAGATGTGTGTTTTAAAACACCCACCATTTTATGCTCCAAAATAAAATATCGTGTCAAGGGAAAATATTCACATAGGGAAAAGCCCACAGAAGGGGAGCTAGTACCATGATCCGGGCACTGTGCTCCATGTTTTCACACGTGGTCTGAGTTAATCTCACAAAATCCATCCACGATGACAGTGAGACTTCAAAGTATTTCAATAATTTGCCCAAGCTCTCCTGACCAATAAGCATAGAAGAGAATTCTAACCCAAATAGGTTTATTTGTGGCAAAGTCTGGAGTCTTTCCATTACACTGTGCAGTTTAATGTAGTTTACTTTATGATGTTTCTGATGCAAGAACTTTTGAGCGTCTTGCCTTCAAGGGAGGCCATATCCAGGAAGGAGAGTGGTTGTGTGGAAAGTCAGCTGAAGAATGTTTAGGCTGACCCTCCGTGGGGCTCCAACTCTGTAACCAAAGAGGCTTCCAAATTCCCCTGATCTTTCAAGGGATGCTCCTTCACTAGGATTAATTAACCCCATTTCAGCTTTTTCTATGATGGTAATAACAATCACGATAACAACAACTTCTATTTATCAAGATACTTAGCACTTCCAAAGAAAGGCATTATGAGCTCCTGTCTCAGCCTGGGTTGTCCCAAAAGTAGACCCAGAAGTAAGACTTGGGTGCTGATAGTTTTTTGAGAGATGATCCCAGGAAAAGCCAGCGAGGACTGGAGATGTGAGACAGGGAGAAGAAAAAGAGCCAGTCAGGAGTGCATTGATGAGCAAGTTGCCACTGTGGGCGACAGGCTCAATCCCACTGGGGACACTGAGTTGTCCCACTGAGGAACAGGGATACCAGGGTATATTCATCTATCACTTTCTATCCAAATCACTGGTACGGGGTGGTCCCTGAAGGGTTCAATCCCCTACACTTTGGGGGACTGCCCTGCACATCAGCTGAGCAGGCTCCCATGGTGTGGGGGAAAGCTCCAGGAGAACAGCCCAGAGATACCGATACCTCTGGTGGGTATCGGTGGGAAGCAGTCAGAATACATGGGAGCTGCAGCTGCCGGTGAACTCGGAAGGGGCATGGAAGAAGTGAGAAGGGCTTGAGCAGCATCCGCTACATTTCCCTTCCACACAGAAGGTATAGGTAAGGGGCATTGTTAAGGTGCTCAGGCTCACACTGCTGATGTGTCTGATTAACCCAAAGCCCCTGCTCTTCCTGGTACCCGAAGCTAACTCCAAACCCTAAGTATAGTGTGCACGTCCCTTACTATATCTCCTCATCACTTTGCCCTTAGGAAAATACCATCCACTGGCAAGCTGGTGCTGAGCCTCACCACTGATGCGTGTGAGGGGAAAGAAAATTTCGTCCGCTACCTTGAACACGTCCAAGCTGTCATCACAGTCAATGCCACCAGGAGAGGAGACCTGAACATCAATATGACTTCCCCAATGGGCACCAAGTCCATTTTGCTGAGCCGGCGTCCAAGGGATGACGACTCCAAGGTGGGCTTTGACAAGTGGCCTTTCATGACCACCCACACTTGGGGGGAAGATGCCCGAGGAACCTGGACCCTGGAGCTGGGGTTTGTCGGGAGCTCACCCCAGAAGGGGGTGCTGAAGGAGTGGACACTGATGCTGCATGGCACGCAGAGCGCTCCTTACATCGACCAGGTTGTAAGGGATTACCAGTCCAAGTTGGCCATGTCCAAGAAGGAGGAGCTGGAAGAGGAGCTGGACGAAGCCGTGGAGAGAAGCCTGAAAAGCATCCTGCACAAGAACTAGCGCAGCAGCCGGGCCTCGACCGCCTCCCTCCGTCCCCCATCTCTGCCTCTGTCCTCGGGCCACACTCTGTCAGGAACCTAGCAATTACTGTCACCCTCACATAAGCTATTCCAACTTCTTGATCTGAAGCTTCGCTCACTGTCAATGATTCTTTTCATCACAATGGACGCAATCTTTTTACTTCCATGCCCCAAATACAGTGTTCCCACCAAAACCTATGTCCTATTTGTGACTCTAAAGTTCTTTATTTGTGTCATTCAAATAGGTGATAGCCAGCAAACAAAACTGGGACAGCTTCCTCCTCCATTTTGTTCATATCTGAGAAGAGAAGGCATTTAAAAGTCACACTCAGTGACTCCAAGAATGTTTATTCATGGTCTCAATTGAGGACCTGTTACATCAAAAGAGAAAGATAATAACAGAAGGTGAGCTCTGAGTCTCTAAAGCACAACAGATGCTGTAAGTCCTTTGGGGGAAAATGTTTTGAACTTAGCAAGATTTTTCAATGACGTAGATGAAGGCGGTGTGATGCAAAAGACGCCATCCATGACAGCCCTAATCACTGGCTGGGGAAGAAAGAGTCAAAAAGCATGAGCATTGGAAATCGTACCACTGACACCAACAGCGTAACTTGTCCTACTCAGCCAGCGTGATCCCTATGAAACCTAAGTAGCATGGCTGTCCTTTTCACCAGCTGCTGTTCTGTTACGGTAGGATCTGCTAGAGAAGCCCAAATTAACTCAGTTTGTATAGAATTCATCCCAGCCCCAATTTTCTGGGGCTTCTCACATAGCTAACCAAAAGAAAAGAAGGTGAGGCAAGTCTGGCAACATGTCTAGGAAAGAATAGCTCAGTGGCTTAGAACACAGGAACGTTCCTCTTCCTAAATCACTTTGGAGCTTCTGAACCCGATATAAGTGAGAAGCGAGATGAGTATTTTGGGCACACATATACTTGGGATTTGATTTCTAAAATATATGGTTGTGATTCTTTGATGTGTTGGGGAAATGGCCTCCATTCTGGAAGAGGTGTGTAAAGAGTGAAGGGGGCGTGTTTGAAGATATGGACCCTCCATTTGTGTGGAGATTCTTCTGCCAAAGGAGGGAAATGCTGACCCATCCTCCAGCAATGTGAGGCTGAAGGAAGCAAGAGAAGACCTCCTTAGGGAAAGCACACAGTCACCATCTTGACAACTAAGCAATCTGTGAAGATGTTTAACAAGCAACCCAAAGGTGACACACTCCTCCCCCCGTCGACCCCAAAAGACACAGCACCATTTCATTACCAAATGGAAAAGCTTTTTATTGGACCCATCATCACTTTGTTTTTCTCCCCAAGGATTGGCCCCTTTATTGGTTTGATTTGATTCCCAAGACTGATCGACCACTTCTGGCTGCATTTCTCCCTTCCCATGGGAGCGTGTAGCTAAGCTCAGAGTTCCTTTCCTTAAAGCCAGCAACACAAGGGCACTAAGTTCCATTCCTTGAAGGTGGCGACTTTAAGAGAAAACTCTGGAAAACCCATTTTCTTTCTTTTCTCCCCCCCATATTGGCATGAATTTCTGTCTTCTCTAACACCATATGACCTTCTCTATATAATGCTTTAAGATGTAATAATATTTATGATTTTTAAAAGAAGTTTATTACCTGTTGCAAAGGTCTTTTTAAACCAGTTTAGATTTAAAGAAAAAAAATAATGGAAACCATCAAAAATTCATTTCATATTAACAGTCTGAAAATAAACCAAAGGACATTATGTGTGCATATGTGTATAGGTGCACACAGAAATATATATACATATGTAGACTATATACATGTGTGTATGTATGTATATATATATACACTTGTATAAATGTATATACACACATATACCTAAAATGTGTGTATGTGTATTTATTGAAGAAACCGACACCATATTCATCTCTTAAAGAATATTCAGAGAATATCAAGATGATTCTGGCTGAAGAAAAAGGCCGGTGGAAATTCAGGTGAAAATGTTCATTGATTCCCATTGCATCACCTCTGTAATTTTGCAGCTTTCTGTATAAACATTAAATGTCTTATATAGCAGCAAAAATATAAAATACTTGTCCATATTTTCACAGCTGTGGTATAATTTATGAAATTAGAGAGTAACTTATCAGCTTCTTAATAGAAATGGCAAGTTTTGATATGAGTTTACAGTATATAAAAATATATATAGTGCTATATAAAAACATTTGGTCTCTATTTCATTTTTTGCACCAGTATTAACACAAAAGTATGTCTAGCTAGTGAGGTTTTTACGATATCCCTGATCCTAATGCAAGAGACAGTTATTTATAATCATTTATTTAAAAAAATGAAAATAAATTAATTAATCAAGTTAAGATTGTTACTCCCTGTGACAACATTTTATAAGTAAATTTAAAAAGACATGTTGTAAATTAGGAGACTCAACAATAAAACATTACCTTCCAGAAACTATGTGGGATGTGATATATATTACATAAAAACACTTTCATCTATTCTAAGAGCAGATAATAAAAAGTTGCCAAAGAGAGATCTGAAAAGTCTGCTTTCATAAATTTGCCTGAGAGATTTATAATTAGCAGATAAATCACATACAAATTATGATCTACAGCAGCATTTTTCAAACTCAAGTTATATGCCATTAACAAGTTGTAAAAAAAAAAGACTAACATTTTGGAATAGAATAAAACAGAATAGAATAGAAATGAAATTGGAATAGAATAGATCATGCATATTAGTGAGTACTGTTTCTGAAATATTTGTTCTGTGTGTGTGTGTGTGTATACAAAACGAGAATGTGTGTGTGTGTGCATGTGTGTGTATTGGCTCACAAGATAAATATTTCTTACTGTTGGTCATGGTCAAAAATCTTTTAGAAAGGCTCTTCTAGAATGTATTCATCAAGCTAGACTGAGTTATGCTGTAGTAACAAAGAGCCCCCAAATTTCAGTGGCTTAACACAGCAAAGGTTTACTTACCATTCACATGAATTCCTCTGAGGGTTCAGGAGACTCCCCGAGGCCACAGACTCAGGGATTCAGGCTGCTTTTATCTTCAGTCTTGTGGTTTGTAATCATAACACAAGATTGCTAAGTCACCACACAGACGAGAACCCACAGAAGACTCTCATCCACTCCTTATATTCAGCCTGAAGGAGACACACATGTCATTTGAGCTACTCTGCATTGGCCAGTACTGGTCAGTGACCCTTCCTAAATGCATGGTAGCTGGAAAATGTAGGACATCTAATGGAATACTTGATGAGCATCGCAGAGAGCTTAACATTCTCTTAAAATATATTAAGTACTGATTTACATGGCCACCTCTCTTCATGGATAATACCATGAATAGTATTATAAACTAGCTGTCACCCATGGGACCACAAGCTATTCTAGCAATCTTAATAGTTATTAATAAAATACTAATGTATTGAATTTACCATGGTTCATTGTAAAAACAATGTTTAATTTTGTCCTATGATCTAATACTTATCAAACCCAATTAGTAAAATCTTAAGAGAGGCTATGACCAAAAACAGACAGTGAAGGTATAAGGTCCAAAGTCTGAGGCTGTGACAAACTGAGACGCTGCTTTTCTATATTTAAGCTCAAAAATTGACTTCCAAAAGATTAAATTAAAACTGATCATTCTTATAGTGTTATTACTGTACTGTCATTGTTAATTATCACTTATAAATTAATAAGAGTGATTTTCATGTGATCAATGCCTTTGGGAAACACAGCTCAGCATTTTAGATTTAGAGAGGGAAATGTTTAATTGGGGAATTGGTGCTCTCATAGCCAAAGAAGTTTCTAAATTAGATAGAAATTTCTAAAAATCAAAATGCCAAGATTAAAGACAGTGGTTGTGAGAGAGAATAAGGGGTTCTAAAAACTCTGAGAGTTTGAAATAAATCAGCACACAATGTGTCCTGGACCAAGGAAGATGATTTGGCTGCAACCAGCTGGATGGTTCTCTGTCTCCAAAGAAGGAATGAGTCAACAGAAAAGGTGGGGAGAGGGGCCAACGCTCAGCATGTGGGAGCTTAGGATAATGGAGATCAGGGGAACGAGAGTTGGCAGAGGGACCTGGAGGTGTTAAGGGTAAGGGAACACAACAGCTTGATATAAAGGGGAATTCCAGTCTCCGAAGAGCTGAAGTCCATTGAGGACAGAGCCCAGTGCATGAGAAGCCACCCCCAGTCAACACCACCCACCTGCCAATGGTCAGATTCCATGCCCACCCACAGCCTCCTGAGCCTTATTTGGCTTCCCAAAGACAGTAACACCAAGGAGAGGAGATAACCAGCACAAGGGATACCAATACCTGGATCTCTAGGGGAAAAGATCCCCTCTTTGCATTGCAAATTAAGTAGTTCTTGAGTTTTTCCACTAGTCTCTTATGCATTTAGTTGTCAAGAGACCCTTTCCTTGGGCTCAAAAAACTCCAGTTGAATTTGCTTGTGGATTCATAAGGGACCAGGAATCAAAGTTTAACCTGAAGCAAATTCTCCAAGCTAGCCTGCCAGCTTCATTTCTCTCTTAGAAGAGTCTCACTGTTTTGAACCTGGGGATAGAATGAAATGAGGGTGAGAAATGCACTTGGCCCAAAGAGATGAAGACTTTGTATTACTAAATTCTTCATGTTCAGCCCTACATGGTTTGGGGTAAGGTGGGGGTGATTGGAAATCTCAGTCCACGAGTTTAAGATGCCCCAACAGCCAAATGAGTCTGTGAATTCCTTTGGTTGGATGTTAACTGACACTGATTTCCACCATGGAGGGTTCAGACCAACCTGCCGTCACCATCCTAGTGTGGGTGACCCACCTCACAGTGCCTTCAAAGACGGGTCTTTGCACCCAAGAGGATCCCCCATTGGCTACTCCAAGCTGGACAGAAGGCAGAGGCTGCAACTTGCTTTGTTTTTTTCTCTGGAGCTGCTGACTAACCACGGGTGACAGATAAGCCAGCTAGGAAGCTCCTGATCACAAGGATGCAAGTTTGCAGGTGAAGGGGTGGGTGTGACTAGTGAGGGTACTAGCACAGCAGAGTTATTGACCAGGGATGTATCTCATGGAAGAACATACATCTCAACTCAAGAGCCCTGTTTGAATAAAACATAAGTTAGTGTGGCTTTTTTGTGGCATTTGTTTGCTTTCATCCAAGCATGAGAAATCGAAGTCAAGCATTGGTGCTAATCAT